TTTATGAGACAGAAAAAGAAACCAGCAATCCTACCATCATGCAAAACAGTTACAGGTTTCTGTTTCACAGTCATCTGGCAGGACGGTAGTACTTCCCTGGGTGGTTGCTGTCTACCAACCTACTACCTATTGGCAACTATTGGCAGAAAAGTGGGCTAGTGTAAGTATGGGTAGTGAGGGGTTGAAGAGGGATGGGATAGTTTTAAAAATGCATTATTAGAATGTGGGGCAGAAGTTTATAGCTATAGAAGGGTAAGAGGAGTGTTTGGTGGAATGACGAGGTAAAGGGTGCTATAAGAGAAAAAGGTAGCTTATGCGAGGTTTTTACAAAGTGGAAGTGATATAAGGGCTGAGTATATGGAGAGTAAAAGAAAGGTGAAGAAAGTGGTGAGGGAGTGCAAAAGGAGAGCAAATGATACAGTGGGAGAGGCACTGTCAAGAAATTTTGCTGAGAATAAGAAAAAATTTTGGAGTGAGATGAACAAGTTAAGAAAGCCTAGGAAGCAAATGGATTTGTCAGTTAAAAACAGAGTTAGTAGATGGAGAGCTGGAGATACTGGGTAGATGGCGGGAATATTTGGAACTTATAAATGTCGATGAACAGAGGGAGGCAGTAAATTCATGCACTGACCAGGGAGGTATAACATCTTTTATTTTTTTTTTTTATTATCACACTGGTCGATTCCCACCAAGGCAGGGTGGCCTGAAAAAGAAAAACTTTCACCATCATTCACTCCATCACTGTCTTGCCAGAAGGGTGCTTTACACTACGGTTTTTAAACTGCAACATTAACACCCCTCCTTCAGAGTGCAGGCACTGTACTTCCCATCTCCAGGACTCAAGTCCAGCCTGCCGGTTTCCCTGAACCCCTTCATAAATGTTACTTTGCTCACACTCCAACAGCACGTCAAGTACTAAAAACCATTCGTCTCCATTCACTCCTATCAAACACGCTCACGCACGCCTGCTGGAAGTCCAAGCCCCTCGCACACAAAACCTCCTTTACCCCCTCCCTCCAACCTTTCCTAGGCCGACCCCTACCCCGCCTTCCTTCCACTACAGACTGATACACTCTTGAAGTCATTCTGTTTCGCTCCATTCTCTCTACATGTCCGAACAACCTCAACAACCCTTCCTCAGCCCTCTGGACAACAGTTTTGGTAATCCCACACATCTTTTAGATGTTAAAAGCAGGGGGGGGGGGGATAGTGTTGGAGTGGTTGGTATTTTTGTTTAAGTGTATGAAAGAGGAGAAAGTACATGGGGATTGGCAGAGAGCATGTATAGTTCCTTTATATAAAGGGAAGGGGGACAAAAGAAATTGTAAAAATTACAGGGAAATAAGTTTACTGAGTATACCAGGTAAAGTGTATGGTAGGGTTATTATTGAAAGAATTAGAGGTAAGACAGAGGGTAGGATTGCAGATGAACAAGGAGGCTTTAGAATGGGCAGGGGATGTGTAGATCAAGTGTTTACACTGAAGCATACATCTGAACAGTATTTAGATAAAGGTAAGGAAGTTCTCATTGCATTTATGGATTTAGAAAAGGCATATGATAGTGGGTAGGGGAGCAATGTGGCAGATGTTGCAAGTGTGTGGAATAGGTAGTAAGTTACTAAATGCTGTAAAGAGTTTTTGTGAAGGTAGTGAGGCTCAGGTTAAGGTGTGTAGGGGAGAGAGAGATTACTTCCCAGTAAAAGTAGGTCTTAGACAGGGATGTGTAATGTCACCATGGTTGGTTAACATATTTATAGATGGACTTGTAAAAGTAAATGCTAGGGTGTTGGGGAGAGGGGTGGGATTAAATTATGGGGAATCAAATACAAAATGGGAGTTGACAGTTACTTTTGGCTGAGGATACTGTGCTTTTGGGAGATTCTAAAGAAAAGTTGCAAAGGTTAGTTGACGAGTTTGGGAAGGTGTGTAAAGGCAGAAAATTGAAAGTGAACACAGAAAAGAGTAAGATGATGAGGGTATCAAACAACTTAGATAAAGAAAAAGTGGATATCACATTGGAGGGAGGGTGTATAGAAGAAGTGAACGCTTTCAGATATATTTGGGAGTTGATTTGTCACTGGATGGGTTTATGAAGGATGAGGGTAACCATAGAACTGATAAAAGAAAAAAGATCAGTGGTGCATTGAGGTATCTGGAGATAAAAAAGAACATTATCCATTGAGGCAAAGAAGGGAATACACGAGAGTATAGAGGTACCAACACTTATGTGGGTGTGAAGTATGGGTTGTAAATACTGCAGCGAGGAGGCGACTGGAGGCAGCAGAGATGTCCTGTCTAAGGGCAATATGTGGTGTAAATATTATGCAGAGAATTTGTAGTGTGGAAATTAGGAGGATGTGTGGAGTTACTAAAAGTATTAGTCAGAGCTGAAGAGGGGCTGTTGAGGTGGTTTGGTCCCTCTAACCTGAAAAGGTTGGAGGGAGGGGGTAAAAGAGGTTTTGTGGGCAAGGGGCTTGGACTTCCAGCAAGCATGCATGAGCATGTTAGATAGGAAAGAATGGAGGTGAATGGTTTTTGATACCTAACAATCTGTTGGCCTGTGAGCAGGGTAATATTTTCTGAAGGGATTAAGGGAAACCAGTTAGCTGGACTTGAGTTTTGAAAATGGGAAGTACAATGTCTGCACTTTAACCCTTAAACGGTCCAAACGTATATATATGTTTTTTCAACATATGAAAGTACGTAAAAAAAGTAATCTTTTTTTTTTTTACATTTGAAAACGTGTAAAAAAAACTTTTATCTACATTTTATTTTTCGTTATATTTGAAAATATGTAAAAAAAAACGTAGATCTACTTTTGGAGCACTACGGATTTGAACGTCGATCTGTTTGGACTGTTTAAGGGTTAAAGGAGGGGTTTAGAATATTAGCAGCTTGGAGGGACATCTAAACTATCATATCTGAACACCTCTGCAAAGACAGTGATTATGTATGAGTGATGGTGAAAGTGTTGAATGATCTACCTACCTGGAGGTTATTCTGGGGATCAACGCCCCTGCGGCCCGGTCCACAACCAGGCCTCCTGGTGGATGGGCCTGATCAACCAGGCTGTTACTGCTGGCCGCACGCAGTCCAACGTACGGACCACAGCCCGGCTGATCCGGCACTGACTTTAGGTATCTGTCCAGCTCTCTTTTGAAGGCAGCCAGGGGTTTATTGGTAATTCCCCTTATGCTTGGTGGGAGGCTGTTGAACAGTCTTGGGCCCCGGACATTTGTGGTGTTTTAGTGTACCAATGGCACCCCTACTTTTAATTGGGGGTATTTTGCATCGCCTGCCCAGTCTTTTACTTTCGTAGGGAGTTATTTCTGTGTGCAGATTCGGGACCATTCCTTCCAGGATTTTCCAAGTGTAGATTATATCTATATCTATATCTCTATCTCTATCTATATCTATCTATATCTATATATCTATCTATATCTATATCTATCTATATCTATATCTATATCTATCTATATCTATATATCTATCTATATATCTATCTATCTATATCTCTATCTATATCTATATATCTATATCTATCTATATATCTATCTATATCTATCTATATCTCTCTCTATCTCTCTCTATATATAAACCATACCCCCGGCCGGGATTGTATGGTTTATTTGCAATCGTGTCATTACGATTTCTTAAGTCAAGTCTCTCTATATATCTCTCTCTCTATATATCTCTCTCTATATATCTCTCTCTATATATATCTCTCTCTATATATCTCTTATATATCTCTCTCTCTATATATATCTCTCTATATATATCTCTCTCTATATATATCTCTCTCTATATATATATCTCTCTCTCTATATATATATCTCTCTATATATATCTCTCTCTCTATATATATTCTCTTATATATCTCTCTCTATATATTCTCTCATATCTCTCTCTATATATTATATCTCTCTATATCTCTCCATCTCTCTCTATATATATATCTCTTCTATATCTTCTCTCTCTATATAATCTCTCTCTATATATATCTCTCTCTATTATCTTCTCTCTCTATATATATCTCTCTCTATATATATCTCTCTCTATATATATCTCTCTATATATATCTCTCTCTATATATCTCTCTCTCTCTATATCTCTCTCTCTATATATCTCTCTCTCTATATATATCTCTCTCTCTCTATATATCTCTCTCTCTATTAAATATCTCTCTCTCTCTCTATATCTCTCTCTCTCTATATCTCTCTCTCTCTCCATCTCTCTCTCTCTCTCTCTCTCTCTCTCTCTCTATCTCTCTCTCCTGCATTCCAACGAGCACAAGTCAAGTGCTTCCAAGCGTTCCCAGTAGTTAAGGTGCTTGACAGAACTTATATGTGCAGTAAAGGTTCTCTGTACACTCTCTAGATCTGCAGTTTCACCTGCTTTGAACGGAGATGTTAATGTACAGCAGTATTCCAGCCTAGAGAGAACAAGTGATTTGAAAAGGTTCATCATTGGCTTGGCATCTCTCGTTTTGAACGTTCTCATTATCCATCCTATCATTTTCTTTGCAATTGTGAACGTGGCACTGTTGTGATCCTTGAAAGTGAGATCCCAGGCCCCTTACATTATTTTTCCGCTCTATTGTATGGCCAGAGTTTGTAGTACACTCTGTTCTAGTTATTATCCCCTCCAGTTTTCCATAACAGAGTAGTTGGAATTTGTCCTCATTGAACATTCATATTGTTTTCCGTTGCCCACTGGAAAACTTTGTTTATATCTTCTTGGAAGTTAACCGTGTCCTCAATAGATGACAGCCTCATGCAGATCCTAGTATCGTCTGCAAAGGATGATAGGGTGATGATGATGATGAAAGTTTTTTCTTTCTTTTTGGGATTTTCTTTCTTTTTGGGTCACCCTGCCTCAATGGGAAATGGCAGACATGTTAAAAAAAAAAAAAACTATTATTATTACTATGGCATCAAGACTAAAGGGGTTAGTGATTTTAATGTGTACATATAAAATACACAATTTTAAAACCCTTGAAATTTTGGAAAGTTTCCAGAAATAATGGACAGCCATGCTCACGGAGAATGTAAACAAACTGGGTGGCGTGTGGTGACCGTATTAGAAAGTCAGGTGGAGCCGTATAGCATTAGTGGAATGCCATTAAGTGAAACTCCATAAAGTGGGGCCCTACTGTATTCTGAAAGTACTATATCTGAAAGTATTATAATCATGACCTCTTGTACAAGTACAAGCTAAATATCACAAACTATCACATTTCTAAAAAGATACGCTGTATAGCCCTTGTGGCTTAGAGCTTCTTTTTTGATTATAATAATAATCTAAAGATACATTCAACATTGTTACTGAGGCAGAGTCAGACACTTCAGCACTACATCTGATTTGTCTTGAGAAGGTTTTACTCTTAGAGTAACATCTTCTGACAAAAATACAGTACTATGACCTCCTGTGGCCAGGTGGTGACACACTCAACTCCCATTTGAGAGGTCAGAGGGTCAATCCCTAGAATGGGGAGTCATCTTCCAGCAGTTTGCACATTTATACAAACTAAATTTTACAAAAAATACAAATGCTGCTAAATTACTCGCCTGGAATATTTTTGCTAGGTATTCTCTACAAGCAGGAGCCTTCATTAACAACTTGCAGTTTTTCATCTGCTCAGTTAAGAATCGTGGGGATAAGTACTGGCATCTGCAAAATAAAATATGTAATTAAAAGAATGTGAGGAATGGAACAAGTAGGAAAACAAATGGAAAACTTTATAAATGACAACCTACCAATTGGTCCATTTTTTAAGATTTTAAAAAACTTATAAATCAGGCAAACCATTGTCTTTGTAAAGTTTTCCATGTTGTATTTGAGTGTTTTATTCCCATGCTAGTTACAATGTAAGGAAGAAATAGAGAGAATTCTCATATATTTCTGCCATAAGAATATTTGCAAGTTTTTGCAAACAATAGTAGAAAAATGGAGTGGGATAAAAGAGGCAGTAGCATACAACCACTGGAATTTTAAACAGACATGACTGATTAAACACTAAAGATAAGACACTACAAGCACAGCTCTGCCCTGTGGTTACGAACAAGTAATTTCAATTAAGTAATTACCAGAAGGAAACTACAAACTTTATAAATTGGTAATCATAGGCACAGGAGGTAATCACATCTTTGCTTCGTGTGGCTACTTCGAATAAAATAAATTTTGCACCATGACAGCAATCGCCCAGGGGGGTACTACCGTCCTGTCAAGTGAGTGTAAAACGGAAACCTGTAATTGTTTTACGTGATGGTAGGATTGCTGGAGTCCATTTTTCTGTCTCATAAACATGCAAGGTTTCAGGTACGTCTTGCTACTTCTACTTACACTTAGGTCACACTACACATACATGTTTTTTTTTTTTTTTTTTCAACAAGTCGGCCGTCTCCCACCGAGGCAGGGTGACCCAAAAAAGAAAGAAAATCCCCAAAAAGAAAATACTTTCATCATCATTCAACACTTTCACCACACTCGCACATTATCACTGTTTTTGCAGAGGTGCTCAGAATACAACAGTCTAGAAGCATAAACATATAAAGATACACAACATATCCCTCCAAACTGCCAATATCCCAAACCCCTCCTTTAAAGTGCAGGCATTGTACTTCCCATTTCCAGGACTCAAGTCCGACTATATGAAAATAACCGGTTTCCCTGAATCCCTTCACTAAATATTACCCTGCTCACACTCCAACAGATCGTCAGGTCCCAAGTACCATTCGTCTCCATTCACTCCTATCTAACACGCTCACGCACGCTTGCTGGAAGTCCAAGCCCCTTACCCACAAAACCTCCTTTACCCCCTCTCTCCAACCCCTTTCGAGGACGACCCCTACCCCGCCTTCCTTCCCCTATAGATTTATATGCTTTCCATGTCATTCTACTGTGATCCATTCTCTCTAAATGACCAAACCACCTCAACAACCCCTCTTCTGCCTCTGATTTAATACTTTTATTAACTCCACACCTTCTCCTAATTTCCACACTCCGAATTTTCTGCATAATATTTACACCACACATTGCCCTTAAACAGGATATCTCCGCTGCCTCCAACCGTCTCCTCGCTGCTGCATTTACCACCCAAGCTTCACACCCATATAAGAGTGTTGGTACTACTATACTTTCATACATTCCTTCTTTGCCTCCATAGATAACGTTTTTTGACTCCACATATACCTCAACGCCCCACTCACCTTTTTTCCCTCATCAATTCTATGATTAAACCTCATCCTTCATAAATCCATCCGCCGACACGTCAACTCCCAAGTATCTGAAAACATTCACTTCTTCCATACTCCTCCTCCCCAATTTGATATCCAATTTTTCTTTATCTAAATCATTTGACACCCTCATCACTTACTCTTTTCTATGTTCACTTTCAACTTTCTACCTTTACACACATTCCCAAACTCATCCACTAACCTTTGCAATTTTTCTTTAGAATCTCCCATAAGCACAGTATCATCAGCAAAAAGTAACTGTGTCAATTCCCATTTTTGAATTTGATTCCCCATAATTTAATCCCACCCTCTCCCAAACACCCTAGCATTTACTTCCTTTACAACCCCATCTATAATATATTAAACAACCATGGTGACATTACACATCCCTGTCTAAGACCTATTTTTTACCGGGAAGTAGTCTCCCTCTCTTCTACACACCCTAACCTGAGCCTCACTATCCTCATAAAAACTCTTTACAGCATTTATTAACTTACCACCTATTCCATATACTTGCAACATCTGCCACATTGCTCCTCTATCCACTCTATCATATGCCTTTTCTAAATCCATAAATGCAATAAAAACTTCCCTATCTTTATCTAAATACTGTTTCACATATATGCTTCAATGTAAACACCTGATCTACACATCCCCTACCCACTCTAAAACCTCCTTGCTCATCCGCAATCCTACATTCTGTCTTACCTCTAATTCTTTCAATTATAACCCTACCGTACACTTTTCCTGGTATACTCAGTAAGCTTATTCCTCTATAATTTTTACAGTCTCTTTTGCCCCCTTTCCCTTTATATAAAGGGACTATACATGCTCTCTGCCAATCCCTAGGTACCTTCCCCTCTTTCATACATTTATTAAACAAAATTTACCAACCACTCCAACACTATATCCCCCCCTGCTTTTAACATTTCTGTCATGATCCCATCAGTTCCAGCTGCTTTACCCCTTTCATTTTACGTAATGCCTCACGTACCTCCCCCACACTTACATTCTGCTCTTCTTCACTCCTAAAAGATGGTATACCTCCCTGACCAGTGCATGAAATTACTGCCTCTGTTTCTTCCTTAACATTTAAAAGTTCCTCAAAATATTCTCGCCATCTCCCCAATACCTCCATCTCCCCATCTACTAACTCCCCTACTCTGTTTTTAACTGACAAATCCATATTTTCCCTAGGCTTTCTTAACTTGTTTAACTCACTCCAAAATTTTTTCTTATTTTCATTAAAATTTCTTGACAGTGCCTCTCCCACTCTATCATCTGCTCTCCTTTTGCACTCTCTCACCACTCTCTTTACCTTTCTTTTTTCTCTCCATATACTCTGCTCTTCTTATACACTTCTGCTTTGTAAAAACCTCTCATAAGCTACCTTTTTCTCTTTTATCACACCCTTTACTTCATCATTCCACCAATCACTCCTCTTTCCTCCTGCCCCACCCTCCTATAACCACAAACTTCTGCCCACATTCTAATACTGCATTTTTAAAACTATTCCAACCCTCTTCAACCCCCCCACTACTCATCTTGCACTAGCCCACCTTTCTGCCAATAGTCGCTTATATCTCACCCGAACTTCCTCCTCCCTTAGTTTATACACTTTCACCCCCCTCTTACTTGTTGTTGCCACCTTCCTCTTTTCCCATCTACTCTTACTCTAACTGTAGCTACAACTAAATAAAGATCCGATATATCAGTTGCCCCTCTATAAACATGTACATCCTGGAGCCCTACCCATCAACCTTTTATCCACCAATACATAATCTAATAAACTACTTTCATTACGTGCTACATCATACCTTGTATATTTATTTATCCTCTTTTTCATAAATATGTATTACTTATTACCAAATTTCTTTCTACACATAGCTCAATTAAAGGCTCCCCATTTACATTTACCCCTGGCACCCCAAATTTACCTACTACTCCTCCATAACATTTTTAAACCCCCTTTAGCATTAAAATCCCCAACCACCATTACTCTCACACTTGATTCAAAACTCCCCCCGCATTCACTCAACATTTCCCAAAATCTCTCTCTCTCCTCTACACTTCTCTCTTCTCCAGGTGCATACACGCTTATTATAACCCACTTTTCACATCCAATCTTTATTTTACTCCACATAATCCTTGAATTAATACATTTATAGTCCCTCTTTTCCTGCCATAGCTTATCCTTCAACATTATTGCTACTCCTTCTTTAGCTCTAACTCTATTTGAAACCCCTGACCTAATCCCATTTATTCCTCTCCACTGAAACTCTCCACCCCCTTCAGCTTTGTTTCACTTAAAGCCAGGACATCCAGCTTCTTCTCATTCATAACATCCACAATCATCTCTTTCTTATCATCTGCACAACATCCACGCACATTCAGACTTCCACTTTGACAATTTTCTTCTTCTTATTCTTTTTAGTAATCTTTACAGGAAAAGGGGTTACTAGCCCATTGTTCCCGGCATTTTAGTTGACTTTTACAACACGCATGGCTTACGGAGGAAAGATTCTTATTCCACTTCCCCATGGATATAAAAGGAAAATTAATAAGACCAAGAACTATTAAGATAAAATCAAAGAAAACTCAGATGAGTGTGTATAAATAAATGTGTACATGTATGTGTAGTGTGACCTAAGTGTAAGTAGAAGTAGCAAGACATGCCTGTAATCTTGCATATTTATGAGACAGACAAAAGACATCAGCAATCCTACCATCATGTAAAACAATCACAGGCTTCGTTTTACACTCACTTGGCAGGACGGTAGTACCTCCCTGGGTGGTTGCTGTCTACCAACCTACTACCTTCAACACATACATGTATAAGCATATATATACATACTCCTCTGGGTTTTCTTCTATTTTTGTTACTAGTTCTTGTTCTTGCTTATTTCCTCTTACCTCCATGGGGAAGTGGAACAGAATTGTTCCTCTGTAAGCCATGCGTGTCGTAAGAGGCGACTAAAATGCTAGGAGCAAGGAGCTAGTAACCCCTTCTTCTGATATATTACTAAATGTAAAAGGAGAAACTTTCGTTTTTCCTTTTGGGCCACCCCGCCTCGGTGGGATACAGCCAGTTTGTTGAAAGAAGAAAGATTGATTTTGCACCATAGATGGCATCACAATAATTTTCATATTTATAGAAGTTTCTTAAACATTGGAAAATACATAATCCTTAAACATAGTGAACCTTACCTGACTGCCTGGAGAATATGTTCCATTTTAGGTTGTCTATTATCTTCATCATGCATTACCCACTTAAGAACAGCATTATATACATCCTTCTCATCAGGTACATTAAGTTCATCTCGCTGGATGAGGTTGACTAACTGGCAACTAGATAACTGCAAAAACTCTTCTTCCATTGAAACCTGAGAAAACAGATATACTATTTTTCTATGTGATTATCTGAATTATGCCTACCTTGACAACAAACACACTTACATTTCATAATAACTAACACTACTTCACTTATGCTCCCAATGAGCACTTTTTCCCAAGGCATCATACTTGGTCCTCTCCTGTTCCTTATGTGTCAATGATCATCCTAGTCCCGACAAACCCATAGCTTTTGCTGACAATACTTCCATTTCAAACTATGATCTCAGCCTCTGGAACAACTTGTTTGATGAAATTAAAAAGACTAAATAGACACTAACAACCAATTTACATTTAACGTAAAAACTATCTTCATACGTACAGGTAATGACTAAAGAGTCACAATACCATGGGTGGGACAATACAAAAATAACCCGCACTTAGTAGAGGGAAACTTATGACGATGTTTGACTTGTCAGGAGTTTAAGTCAGACCGAAAAAAACATGTTTCACTCTTCCAAGTGCATATTATTTATGTACAGGCAATCATTGTTTGATGATGATACAACATTTAATGTTTCAACACACAACTGAAACATTTGGTAACTGTTCCAGTTGTGTGTTGAAACATTTAACGTATCATCATCAAACTTCGATTCGGCATGCAAATACTGTCACACTGAAAGTTCAAATGATTAAGCAAGGGTTACCTGTATTATCCAAAATTAAACCATTTACTTAAATAGACCATAGAGCAAATATAAAATTTTTCTGAAAACTTAAAGGCAAGTACCTAGGAATACACAAACAAAATTGACTTTCAACACCTATAACCAGGTACAGTATATGCTATTTAGGTTAAAAATGTTTGAGCAAATAATTTACATTTTTGTTTTCTTCTCAGTACAGACAACCAACGGTGACAAGCATAGCTTAACCCTTTGAGGGTCTGTCCAGTAGTTCTACGGCTTTGAAGCCAGGGTCCAAGCCGTAGTTCTATGCCATGAGCTCAGCTCACTCAGATAAGCTGTGAGTGGTAAATTTGGGCCTAGATATGAGAGAATACATCTGTGTGGTACGTATGCACCACATAAAACAAATCCTGCAGCACGCAGTGTGTAACGAGAGAAAAAAACTGCGACCGTAATTTTGTATGTTTTTTTAGTTGTATTCACGATTTCTTGGTCTCATTTGATAGAATGGAAGATATATTACAGAAATAGAGATGATTTTGATTGGTTTTAGTACTGAAAGTACTTTAAAACTGAGCTCAAAGTAGCGGAAATATTCAATTTTCTCAGATGTTCAAGAGTAAATGAATGACGTTATGCGTCTAATACACATCAGCTGGTGGGTTTAATATATGTTCACGAATGTGCTGATACTATTTATACAATTAGTGCAATATTGCATAACAGTAAATCTTCTATTTTTTGGTGTGGAAAAAAATTCATTGTGAGTAAAAAATCAAAATGGAATTCATTTGCAAAGCCTGAAAATGTAACTAATGAACAGAGGAAATGTTAGTTTAGTGCCAGGAATGCCTGCATTGTTTATTCTGGACCCTTTTTTGAAACTGGAATATTTTGAACTTTGTGTTAAATTGGCCAAATTACCAATTTCCTATCACTTTATTGGTTAGTTGAAACAGATGACCAGGCAATTTCTTGTGCTCAATCAATAAAATAGAAGTAATACTAGCGAAATAGCTAAGAATTTGGTCGACTGGAATAATGTAATTGGCCTAAAATGGAAGTCAGTCTGCAAAATTGCCGATGCGTAAATCAGCGCAGCAAAATTCGCGAGAGCATAACTTAGTCAATTTTCCATCAAATTTCATACTCTTTGTTCTATTACCTTCAGAAAAAGATTCTCTACCATTTCATAAGAAAAAAATATTTTTTTTTTTTTTTAAATTCTTGGACCCTGGCTGTCACTCTGAGATTTGGCATCTGAACCCTCAAAGGGTTAAAAATGAGGGAGGGAGAGAGCTATGAAAGGTAGTGAGGACAACTACAGTACCCTCCTAACACAGAATAAACTCTTTACTTACCCACCACTTCCTAACGCACAAACTCTTCACTTGCCCACCACTATCCCATGTGACTGCATCCTCAGAGGTTTATTTCAAATTTGTTTTTGTATCTCTATAAAATTATTTTTGATGTTAAGTGACTGCTTGCATAACTGAAGTGTGGTAGCTGGGTAGAGGTGACCAGAAAACATCAGATACCAAGGTAGGTGCAGATATACCCCTGGATCAACTGAGCTGTGCCAAGTGTTTGCCATGCTATAGAACTAAGGGGGAGTTGCAAAGTATGAACTACATTTAGTTACGCTTAGCAAGTTTAGTGTAAAAAAAAAAAAAAAGTTTGCATTACATCTAACCCTTAATATAGTGACAATACTGCACCTGAATTCTTACTAGTCTTACATTGCCATTATGATTACTAGTCTATAGCTAAAATGCATATACAGCAGGGCCCCACTTTACGGCGTTTCACTTTACGGCGTTCCGCTAATACGGTCATTTCAAATTATGACCAAAACTCGCTATACGGCTCCCCCCACCCGACTTTCTAATACGGTCACCGCGCCCCACCTTGTTTGTTTACATTCTTCGTGAGCTCAGTAAGCACTAAGTCTCTCCATTTTGTCTGGAAACTCCAAAATTTCAAATGTCTTTAAAAGTTATTTCATATATACTCTGATAATTATACTTATGTATACCTGTACTTAAATAAACTTACATACTGTGCTGGCATACAGGTACACATTAAAATCAGTAAGAGTGTCTTATGTCTCCAGACGTCATATTAGTAATGATAATAATAATCATCGAGTCTCATTTAAATGTCGTATATTACGTTAAATACACATTTTCATTAATCCATCTATTATATTTTTTCAAAATTATATAATAAACACGATACATAACATAAAAAGATGATAAATACACCCCACAATAGAATAAATAAACATAAATATGAGATGTGGTAGCAGACGACTTGCACAAGTGACGCCATATTAGAAATGCTAATAATAATAATAATAATCACCAAGTCTCATTAACCCTTTCAGGGTCCAAGGCCAAAATCTGAAGTGGTGCCCCAGTGTCCAAGAATTTTCCAAAAAAAAAATTGTTATTTTTTCTTATGAAATGGTAGAGAATCTTTTTGCGAAGGTAATAAAACAAAAAGTACGAAATTTGATGGAAAATTGACGAAATTATGCTCTCGCGAATTTTGATGTGTCAGCGATATTTATGAATTGGCGATTTTGCCAACTTTGACTCCCATTTTAGGCCAATTACATCATTCCAGTCGACCAAATTCTTAGCTATTTGACTAGTATTATTTCTATTCTATCGATTGAGCACAAGAAATCGCCAAGTCAACTGTTTCAACTATAAAATAAAGTGATCGGAAATTGATAATTTGGCCAATTTAACACAAAGTTCAAAATATTCCAATTTCAAAATAGCATCCAGAATAAACAATGTAGGCATTCCTGGCACTAAACTAACATTTCCTCGGTTCATTAGTTATGTTTTGAGGCTTTACAAATAAATCCCATTTTGATTTTTTATTCACATAATGAATTTTTATTCACACCAAAAAATAGAAGATTTACTGTTATGCAATATTGTAATAATTGTATAAATATCATCACCACATTTGTGAATGTATATTAGACCCACCAGCTGGCATGTATTAGGTCATTTGTTTACTCTTGAACATCGGCAAAAATTTAACATTTCCGCTACTTTGAGCTCAGTTTCAAGCCATTTCCAGAGCTAAAACCAATCAAAATCATCTCTATTTCTGTAATATGTCTTCCATTCTATCAAATGAGACCAAGAAATTTCAAATACAACTATAAAAAACATACGAAAAAACAGTGCGAAGTTGCTGTTTTAATCGAGAATCGTGGTTTCAGTTTTTTCTCTCATTATACACAGTGTGCTGCAGGATTTGTTTTATGTGGTGCACACATACCACATAGATGTATTCTCTCATATCTAGGCCCAAGTGTACCACTCACAGTTTATCAGAGTGAGCTGAGCTCATGACGTAGATCTACGGTTTGGACCCTGAACGTAAAGCCGTAGATCTACGGGACGGACCCTGAAAGGGTTAAATGTTGTATATTACATTAATATACACATTTTCATTAATCCATCCATGATATTTTTTTCAAAATTATATAATAAACACGATACATAACATAAAAAGATGATAAATACACCCTACAATAGAATAAATAAACAAATATGAGATGTGGTAGCCAGATAACTTTTATAAGTGATGCCAAGAATAACATTTTCTCTAATCTAACATAAGAGAAAATGTGTTACTGGGGGTAACTGTAGAAAATTATTCCTTTCGTATGTATGTAAGTTTATTCAGGTATACACAAATACAGTTACATATATTATCATACATAACAACATATGTGTAGAGAACCTAGGATAACCCAAAAAAGTCAGTGACTTATTTCCATTGCCTTCACTCAGAGCATCATTTCTTCTCAAAATGATGTTACATGAGAATGGGAGTGTTCTTCTTATTATTCTACCGTATCAATGTAGAGACAAACCTGTACACAATGTAACTTGTACACAAACCAGACGTGTACACTTCGTTTACAAAACTTACCTTCGCCTGGTTTGTTTACATAACTCTGCGCCTGTACTCTCTCATGCACTCATTCTCTCTCTCTCATTTATTCGTTTTATCTCATTTACTTACTCCTGACCCTACATTAAGACTACAAATATTTTAAGGTAAGTAATGAGTGAACTGTATGTACATTTTATCGCTCTGGGATGCTTAAATGTAATAGAATATTATGTGTAGGTGGGTTGGCCTGGTATGATAGCCCGGCAGACTACCATACATACCACATTTGATTTTTTACAATAAATACTACTCATCTCACCCTATATTTTAAGGTAAGTAATGAGTGAACTGTATATACATTTTATCGCTCTGGGATGCTTAAATATCATAGAATTGTATGTGTGGGTGGGGTGGCCTGGTATGGTAGCCTGGCTGACTACCATACATACCACACTTGATTTCTTACAATAAATACTACTTGTCTCACCCTAGATTAAGACTATAAATATTTTAAGGTAAGTAATGAGTGCACTATGTGTGTGTTGTACTTTTTTATTGTTTTTTGATGCCTGGTTCTATTGCTAACTTAATATATGTTAGTGGAAACTTGTTATCTAGTGTTTGTATGCATTTGTAAGTGGAAAAAAAGGGTGTTCCACTTTATGGCGGTTTCCGCTTTACGGCGGTAGCCTGGAACCTAACCAGCCGTATAAGTGGGGCCTTCCTGTACATGGTACCTCGGGATATGAATTTTTTTCGTTCCAGAAGGCTGTTAGAGTGCCAATACCAAACAAATTTGTTCCCATAAGGAATAATGTAAATCAGATTAAACCATTTCAGACCCCCCCCAAAAAAAAAACTTACAAAAGCACTTACATAAATGTTCAAGTTTTGAGCTGTTCATATCCCGAGGTACCACCGTACTATGTATGAGAATTTAATTACGTGTGACTATACTGTCAGAACCAAAGTTAATCACGTTTTTAGTTATGCAATATTCTGATCTTTTTTTAACTGCAACAAAAACAGTTATACAATAAGCAGCAGAATATAGTAGGTAATATGGCAGGTTAGGTTCCTGACCACAGCTGTTAATTAAATGAATCACAACCTTTGTTTCACCGGTCAGTGCATATAAAAGCCTAAAAACATGTTTACACTATCATTTATTAAGTGTGTAAAACATGATGGCCAAATCAAATTAATAGAAAAATGCTACTAAACAGTGCCGCACTGGCAAAGCACTGTATTAGCAAGGTATGCCTGAACCATATAAAAAATATACAAATCATGAAAGTGAAGCTTTTCTGTAGACTACTACAGATTTTTTACCTATAGACTATATTAAAACTATAAGCAAATGTTTGTCTATTTTGAATTTTTTTATATTTCAGTTATAGAATTTGCATATTTTGGCCCTGTTATATATGAATGAATCCCTCATCATGATCGTACCTCTGAGAAATGTTGTTCTATAAATGTATTGGCCTTGCGATACAAATCCATGCAGCCATGTTGCTGAGCAAAGCTCGCAATGCCAATGGCATTCCCAGCTTCAAGTTGTTGCTCGAGGAAAGTGCAGCATGCATCAATTACATGGTTCATCTGAAACACAAATTACAAAAAATGATATAATGTACCCAACACTTTAGTGGTGGTCTATCTAATTCTAGGATTACAATGATGGTAGAGCACTGTTAGAAATGCAGATGAGACAGAAAAGAGGTAAGATGGTTAAGAGGCAGAGGAGCAAGTGCATGTGTGATACTGTACTTTTGTGAGAGCAAAAACCCTACTGCCACTAAATTTATACAATGAAAATAGTATATAAGGAAGACACATATTCAGTTATAAAGAATATATACAATGAAAGATTATGCAAAATGCCCCAGCATGAAAGTGGTTTTCTTTGTACTTAACAAATCAAAACTAACTACACACTGTAACCTTTGCAAAGAAATAAAATCTACTTCTTGGAAAAAACAAAGTGGTCCCATTTATTTCCCAGATAATAAGACACAAAGTTCTAACATGCTAAAAAATTGTATGAAAAGGAAGGCCAGTCTTCACATCAGTGTATGTATACTGTTGGATGGTTTACAGTTTAAAGAAATGCAGTTCCTGTCTGTTATTCCCCACTGCTGTGCATGAAAGCCCAAATACCTCCAGTTGCTTCTTGCTCTCTTTTTCTTAACCCTTTGACTGTCGCAGGCCCCTTTCTGAAACTGTCATTTTATGTCGCAAAATATTCGAAAAAAATAAAATTATTTTTTCTTACCAAAATGTTAGGATTATTTTACTGAGTTTACCTGGAGAGAGTTCCGGGGGTCAATGCCCCCGCGGCCCAGTCTGTGACCAGTGTTGAGTGTTTTAAGCCTAAAAAAAAAATTTTGCCATCAGTACTTACCGAGATAGAGGTGCAAAGTTGGCAGAAAATGAGCAGTGTATGGCAACAGCGGCGAATGCCGCCCACCCGGTATTCTTTTATTTACTCCAATTTGAAGGTTTCTTGTATTTTCCAATATTTTCCTTTTCTAAGTAACTTATGTGGCCTGTGAGACCAAAGTAAGGTGCATTGTTCAAATATACACTCATTGTTTACAACACAATAACTGAAGAAACATTATCACTATTAGTTTGTGTATAAAACTTTTTTACACAAACAAACAAACAATAGAAAACATTGTTTATTACTATTGTTCCATAATATATATACATATGTACAGTCACTGAACACTTTCCTATAACTGCTGCAGCTTGTGGAACTCTTTGAAACATGGGTATATGCAGAGTGGCACTTGACACTCGTTGCACATAAAACAAGTGTCTCTGCGAGTTTGTGGGCATTTTGTGGTATGTCCACATACAAAACACCTCTTCTGAGCACTTTTCTTGAAAGCAGTAGAAGGCAGTTGTATGGGGTAGTGATCACCAGGCCTCAAACGAGATGGTGTGTGTTGGTAATTTCGTGGGTGCTGGTCTATTGCAGGTGTTGCTCCTTGGTACTTGGCAATTATTTGTCTGATAACTGACAAACAAAATTCACCATATTTTGGTTTGTTGTTGGTCCTCAACTTGTATATGTTATAAGCATTTAGCATGGAAAAAGTTTTATATACCACTTAACTCTTGCGTACACAATCAGCAAACCCAATCTGCATGTCACATTTGTCCACTAAGTGCATATTGAGGTAGTCCATGACAGCTGCAGGTTTTAGAATGGGTTCATTGGTCTCTCTATTGTGCCTGCCAGTGTGTGCCATTTCGTTTCAGTGAACCGATGTCAACAAAGTGACATCACATTTGTCATGCCACTGAAATGCCATGATGTCATTGGCAGCAAAGGCTTGCACCTCATCTCTAGTTTAGTTAGTTTAATATGTTTATTATGCACCCCATACCCATCCTGTGGGCGGTAGTCAAAAGATTACAGAGGTACATAATTGGTCCAGGGACTGGACTCCAAAGTTTTGATAGCTGAGCAAGTTACAAAGGTAATGAACTAGATCTGGTCATAATCATGACTAAGTTACAAAGGTAATGAGCTCCAGGTTGAGCTGGTCACACTCATGACAAGTTTCAAAGGTAATGAATGATAAACACGTTATGACATGATTACAATCATAGACAAATTACGGAGTAATGGCAGTTAACAAACATAGTAGGGAATTCATCCAATGCCCCAACAACAGATGTTGCTAGGTGCCTGTCTCTCCTCGGTAGACAGCCATTGCAAACAGCAGCAAGTTGCCCAGGGATCTGCTGCTTGCACGAGCACCATCGACCCTCCCCAAGAGGTCCAAGAAGCCAGTGACTCCGTTAGCAGCCCGATGGAGAGCTGTCCTAGGGACATGTCAGCGTCCTGGTGGACGCCAAGTTGATTGAAGATCCCAGGCCCTCGTGTGCACGGATGTTGAAGATTGAGAAACTGAGTACACACTGCCTGTGGCACACCTGGCAGCTGCCTCGCGGTCAAACTCCACAATGCTGTCCCTGTAGTGGAAGTTCCTGTGAGCCCGGCACTCCCTGCAGTGCCATCACTGACATCGTGGGTTAGGGGAGAAGTACCCTCTACAGATGGGGTGGCGCTGGGAGTTGGGTGGGTGAGGCGGGGGAGATGCGCAGGGGTGAGGCGTTATGAGAGGGTCACTGTTTACTACACACGCCCTCCCCCTCCCCCCCAGCAGAGAGGGGGGGAGGCGCTGACTGGTCCTGACTCTACAACACCAAACCCTCTAAAACTGCACAACACTTCAACTATTTACGCTGAAACGATGCACTGGGATGTCCGTTCGCTGCTCTGGTATCTTCTCAAAGCATTCACACTGAGTTCTGTTAAGTAGGGACCATCATCTCTGCGAGTGCTAGCGTCGAACCTTGGCATATGTTTACGACTACCACGCACTGTGCCACATGTCTGTCAGGTTCACTCGCAAGAAATCACCGAGTACGGGGCTTGTGTACCAGTTATCAATAAATAATATATGCCCCTTACCAAGATATGGTTCCATCATTGTTTGAACCACATCACCAGATACCCAATAACTTCCTGGTATCTCTCAATGTATTACTGCCAGTGTACACAATGATATCCAAAACGAGACCACTTTTGCAATCACACAGTACAAATAACTTTATACCAAAGCGTTTCCTCTTGTTTGGTATGTATTGCTTGAATGAGAGTCTTCCCTTGAATAAAATCAAAGATTCGTCAATAACAAGCCATAAAGGGATAAAAATGCATGCAACACTTTTGTTTCAGGTACATAAACACATTTCTGATCTTATATAACCTGTCGCTTCTGTCAGGCCTTGTTTTGTCTGAAAAGTGTAACATACGTAACAGTATCAAGTAACGATTCACACCTATAATGTCACTAAAACCTGGGGTTGAAATCAGGCGTTCTGTTGCCCAGTATGTGGTGACAGTGTGCTTATACACATGTGGCATAAGCATTATTGTGGCACAAAACAGGTACATCTCTGCCACAGCTGTGTCCTTCCACTGGTGTAGCTGTGATCTTGGTGAATTGTATTTGCCATGGTGTACTCATAGTATATGTTGTTTCCCTGACAATAATGTCCATCAGGGGCTCACTGAAGAATAACTGAAAGCATTCCAGTTCAGTACCATTGTTCCCAAGTGTACACAATGGCCGTACTCCACTTTGTGTTTCATCAAAGTCATGGGGACTGGGAACAAACTCGTCACCTTCCTGCCAATCCCAGATGCGGTCTGCTGGTGGGTTCTGGATATTGAAATGTGGTTGTGCAGGTTGTGGGAGTGTGGGGTTGGGTGAGGCTGGTTGTGCAGTCAGCAGCGTGGGTAGTAGCGTGGCCTGCTGCCGGTGCCACGACTCATGCCACCATCACTATCACCACCACCACCTGCTGCCTCACTCACATCATTCATACCCATCGTAACAATATCGTCACCTTCACTATCAGGTTGTGGTGTAGGGCCACGAGATGTGCTCCGAGATTTAATCCTTCGCCTTGGAACAGCATATGAAACACTACCAGACTGCATGCTACGTCGTATATACTGCCACTTCACTGGGGAATATTCACCCTCACTGTCACAACTAAAACTGCTTTCAGTAACTTTGAAATCACTATCACTGCTCACATCTGAGTCTTGTACATGGGCAAATAGTTTCCTCTTTCATCCTGGTACAGGTGAACGTGAACGAGCCGGCCCAACACGAGAGGTGGAAGGTCGTGGGTCATCTGGGTTTTCATCACTAATTACGTTATCCTGGGCACTTTTTTCGATCACACCCGCTTGAAAACCATGGAATTCACTTTCACTGACACTTCCATCACTGTTAGAGCTATCACTTGGGAACAAAAAACCTCCAATCCGCCTAGGAGTGAGGTACTTCTTACTGCGAGGCATGGTGAAAATGGACTACCAAGATGGCATTCCCACAATGCACCACTGAGTCCGAAATTTTTTTCACAGGGTGCACACCCACCACTCAAACCCATTCTCTCTCATGTAGGGCTACCAGCTTTCTCCTGCTTGATTTGAAGCCGCTAGAATTTACACATATAAATACGTCAGAAACAGTGGCACGTAAGACGTATATATACGACATAAACAGTCAAAGGGTCAATCACCTCTGGTCTCTCATTCCTTCGCAGTGTACACTGATGGTTCTAGATCCTCTGATGGTGTTGGGTTTGCAGCAGTGTTTCCTGACAGCATAGTGCAAGGGCATTTATTGGACTCTGCTAGAATTTTTACAGCTGAATTGTACAGGTCTCCCTCAACATTCGCGAGGGTTAGGGGATCAAGAGCCTCGCGAATGTTGAAAAATCGCGAATGTTTGGTGCCCCAATATATTGTAGGGAAATATAATACAATACTGCTTCCTTAACTTGTTGAACCATGAACAGTCATAAAATACATGAAAACGTCATAAAATATTGTGCTAAATACATACATGTTATGGTTTAATAACATGCATGTCATTAAATACCACTGCATCAACCACTGCGGCACACTGCTCATATTTTGGTACAATTTCTTATTTCAATTCTATCGTGTTTCTCAAATTCTTTACCAAAGGGCTGGCACTAGCAAGTTTCTTTGGGCCCAT